ATCATGTATATAGGCATCACGTCCATAACAAGTAGACCGACTCCTGCCTGCATCTACTACTATTACTCCACACATCGACCGACTCCTGCCTACATCTAGAGTATTAAGTTCATAAGAACAGAGTAACGCCTTAAGCAAGATGACATGATGTAGAGGGATAAACACATGCAATATGATATAAACCCCATCTTGTTATCCTCGATGGCAACAATACAATACGTGTCTTGCAACCCTTTCTGTCACTAGGTAAGAACACCGCAAGATTGAACCCAAAGCTAAGCACTTCTCCCATGGCAAGAAAGATCAATCTAGTAGGCCAAACCAAACTGATAATTCAAAGAGACTTGCAAAGATAACTCAATCATACATAAAAGAATTCAGAGAAGATTCAAATATTATTCATAGATAAACTTGATCATAAACCCACAATTCATCGGATCTCGACAAACACACCGTAAAAAGAGATTACATCGAATAGATCTCCACAAGAGAGGGGGAGAACATTGTATTGAGATCCAAAAAGAGATAAGAAGCCATCTAGCTAATAACTATGGACCCGTAGGTCTGTGGTAAACTACTCACAACTCATCGGAGGGGCTATGATGTTGATGTAGAAGCCCTCCGTGGTTGATTCCCCCTCCGGCAGAGTGCCGGCGAAGGCTCCAAGATGGGATCTCACGGATACAGAAGGTTACGACGGTGGAAATTGTGTTTCGTGGTGCTCCTGGATGTTTTCGGGGTACGTAGGTATATATAGTAGGAAGAAGTACGTCGGTGGACGCCCGAGGGGCCCACGAGACAGGGGGCGCGCCCTACAGGGGGGGCGCCCTCCTGTCTCGTGGAGGCTCCGGTTGTTTCTTGACTTGCACTCCAAGCTCTCCGGATCTTGTTCGTTCCAAAAATCACGTTTCCGAAGGTTTCATTCCGTTTGGACTCTGTTTGATATTCCTTTTCTTCGAATACTGAAATAGGCAAAAAAAAAACAGCAATATGGGCTGGGCCTCCGGTTAGTAGGTTAGTCGCAAAAATGATATAAATATGTAAAATAAAGCCAATAAACATCCAAAACAGGTAATATAATAGCATGGAACAATCAAAAATTATAGATACGTCGGAGACGTATCAATTATCATCTCCTCCAACCCCTTCCTTCCATCGGTCCAACCCACACCATACGCGGGAGTGGGACTTAACCACCCTTTCCTCTCCATCACCATCATCTTCCTCGCCATCATCCAACTCCGTAGAGGAATTGTTCCACGGTTTCCCCTATTTGAACACGGCACAGAGACGCAAACACTCATACATATGCACATACGCTCACCCCCATCAACACACGCACGCACACCCTACTCTTATGAGCAACCGAGGGACTGAGCCAACACATCATCTTTAGATTGATGAAGTTGCCACAGACACCTTCGTAGTCGACGGGAACGTCTCCTCCCATTAAACGCACACCGTCGGAAGGCCTGGAATAAATCCAGAAAAATGTGAGCACCAATGTAAAGTCTAGGAGTTGAACCCCAGTGGGCTGGGGATACCATTGTCCTCCTAACCATCCAATCACATGTTGGTTCACGTTCCACGACTTCCCATGTTTTGGAAGAGCCTCAACATTCCTTGATTTCCACTTCTCGTTGCCTTCCAACACATTCCAACAATTTTGGAGGCCAAACACTTTTACCTTCTGACTTGGCCATTTGACGGCACCTCTCTTGGGCTATATTATCATATAGCATACACATACTAAAATTGGTGAAATACTCAAAGTTATGCAAATGTGGCAATCGAGAAAAAACAAAAGTGCAAACATATTGGTCAATGATGACACCGCAAGGAGGAGCATGCTTCACCTGGTCCAAACAAAACACCCAACAGTTGCACATCACTTAAATTGTACGCCCATTGGTTTGAGCAAGATTTTAGTGTACGGTTCGATTTATACCCAAGGTATTGACCAAAATGCTCCTCGGTGTGTCCTGAATAGTTTTCACTCGTTTGACATTTCCTGGAGATCGCATCAAGAGTGATGTCTTCACATGCCCTCACAAAGCAATATCAACTTTTGTGGCATAGTTTGCGACCCGAATTTCTTTCTTCCTTGACAAACCATAGGGTTGGAATTGATCAAATTCAATATCTTTGCCCTCGACATCTAATTCTTCGAAGTGCCACAACGTTGCGCCATCAAGATCGACATCATCAGTACAACAATATCACCCATCGTAGTACTAGGAATGATTCATTATTGACTACGGGTCCTCCAAAATGCACAAAATAATCACTAAACACCAACATTGCACAATTGCAAGCATTCTTCCATGGTCACATTGCATTCAACCCAACCAATTGGAAGACAAGACAAGGTGGATTACCTCATCGGCAAATCTCCGAGTGCGTCAGAATGGTTAGGCGCCCGAGTTTCTCCCTCCACCGGGACAAAAGGTGGAGAGGCGGAAGCGGGGCGCCCCATCTTCTACCTTTGTTTCTTCGTTGTGAGGAGTTATGACGCTAGCGGGTGCAGGCCATCGCCTAGAGTGGATATCGCCGGTGGCGACATAGGATCAATCATGTCTGCCCCCGAATTGTTGATGATAGGGTGGGCGAGGTGCTGGCTAGGCGTTGGCGGCCTGCCATCCAGGCTGACAGAGTATCAAGAGTCGCGGCAGACAGGGAAGTTGTGAGATCCACCTCCAAACCAAGGGAATTGGATGCGGGGATTGAGGCGAAGACCATGTTGTCATTGGCGAGGACCCGAGCGACGTTACAACGAGGGATGGGAGTTAGTGGCAAGGACGGAAAGCGGATCGGGAGGG